CCATTCCCACGTAAAACGAACAGCTGAAACAATACCGCAAAAATTGCATTGAAAGATTGCTACAGAGAAACATATCAAGATGATCAGTGGTGGATGAAGTACCCAACTATCGTACTTTCAATTCAGTTTATTTATATAGCACCAATTCAAAACACATTTCATCTCAGGACACTTTACAAACTAAGTCAAATCATACAGTCAGATTGGTCAAAATTTTTCTATCTAAAGAAAACCAGCTGATTGCATTGACTCATTGACTCAACAGCAATCCCTCACACCAAGCATGCATGTAGCGACAGCAGAGAGGAAAATCTCCCTTTGAACAGGAAGAAACCTCCAGCAGAACCAGGCTCAGTGTGAGCGGCCATCTGCTGAGGCCCACTGGGGTTCAAGGAGACAGAAGCAGAGATACAAAAGGCAACTGTCAACCAGTTGCAAAGGCGGCCTCGTCCAGGAAACACACAGCCAGGCAGACGAGCTCCGAGCCAGCTCCCATGTCAGAGGATGAAGAGAGCACATCCAAACAGCCCCAACATCTATAAACAAAAGTGTTGATGGCAGAGGCAAAGACAATAAAGTCTGTCAAATTTTTAAAAACCACAATACCGTAATTTTCGGACTATAAGCTGCGACTGTTTCCCAATTTTTTGACCATTTTTCGACCTTGCGGCTTATATAACAATGCGGCTTATCTATGGACTTTTACAGCTAACGGCCACTAGGGTAATACGGTACCTAAATCTATGGATTTTACCATCCACCATGTTGACGTCACATTTGCTTTAACGCACAAGTAGCCGCGCGCGCAGGAATCCGGACGTCCTCCGGAAGCAGCCTCCGAGAAAGACGGACATTGCGAGCGCAAGACAGTTTGTGTGACACCCTCAGTATGGAAAACAAACGTTGAAATGCATATGATGCAGCTTTTAAGTTAAAGGCAGTCAATCTGGCAGTAAACAAAGGAAATAGAACCGCTGCACGTAACCTTGGAATCAACGAGTCAATGGTAAGACGTTGGAGACGCCAGCAGGAAGAATTGTCTAAATTCATTTGTGTTGAAATGTTAAATAGGAGCTTTCCCGACAATCCTCTCTGTGCACGAACCATATGGTAATTTAACATAAAAAGCCTGCGGCCTATAGTCCGGTGCGGCTTGTATATGTACAAATCATGCAATTTAGCTTCTGCG